TGGAAAAGGATGAAATGTTTTTTCTTCGGAATGGAGCAAGTAAGAAGGGATGCGAAGGCAGCACAAAACAAGAAGCGGAGAGTCAAGCAAACTGAAATATGGCAGGCTGAAAAACCCAAAAGGGAACACTTTTTCCCGTAATGTGTAACTCAGCTGGGAAATTCTGTGCTTCTGTTCAACTGAGAACAAATCAAATTTTAGAGAGAGATAACCAAATTTATAGCAGTAGTCCATGCTAGAGCAGGAAGAGCAATGGCAAGGTCATTAGAAATGCACTGCTTCCAGCCTTCAGTAGCTGGGTGTTTGGGGGTTGAGAGGGACAAATAGCCAATAACTATAGGTAGCAGAGTTGCACTTTGAAGCTTAGTTCTGGCTATAAGAGTGTAGCTTGCGTGGACTGTCGCCTTTGCAGTTTCTTTGCTTTTATCATTAAATTCAGTGTTTTATGACAGTTTGGGGTAGCTGGGGTTTTGGATGTCCTGTGCAGAATGCCTTTTTCCTGTCTCCCTGCATTGTGGTTCGCTGTTGTACAGAGGAAATGGAAATCACAGCAGTGCAAACAAGCCAAAAAAGATTTAAGCCTTGACTAAGCTGACAGTCACTCTTGTGACAGTCACTTGGTGTTGTTTGGATTAGGCTCTTCAGAGTCTTTTCAGCCTGTTACAACTGTTGTTTCATTTGCATCATGGTGTTGCCAGAAAAGCAGTGGCAAAAGCATGCTCTGGGTAAGCCAGATCTCTTCCTCTGCAATGGAAACTCCCTCCTTCCCTTAGTGCAGTTGACTTGAAATTGTGATTCATTTGTCTAAAGGCCTTTCCTGATTTCACTTTGTTTTGGAGCAGAAACCTTTCTTCCTTTTAGCTCCTGGTGTCTTCTGCCCTGGAATACAGACACTGGCCTGCACAAGTATTGGCTTGCATAATGCTGCTTCAGATAAAGGTCATAAATGGTCTTATTTGGAAATTAATTCAAATAAGAAAGAGAAGGAGCCAAAACCAAGCCTCTACTGGGCATGTTAATAATGTCATTTGTTTACAGAGTGTAAGATCACTGCTAGAGGACATCCTGAATCATTGGCTGTTGCTCTTAGTGTTTGCCCTTGGTTGTCCCTGTTGTGGGGGAAGCAAGTCCAAAGGTCAGAGAGACTCTGCTGGTCCAACACTGCCTGAAGACAGCTATTCATCTTCTGGAAACCCAGGCTGATATTTTGAAAGATCAGTGTTATGATTTTGATGCCTAAAAAAAAAAAAAATAGATGGGATTCACTTCATTCCATGGACTCATTCCAGTACAGTCATTTGGCACCGCAACCAGGAGGAATTAGTGCTGTAGTTCTTGAACACTAACCAGGAAAAAGGAGATGGTTGTAATGTCAGAAGCGTGTGGCAGCAGATCAGAACTGGTGTCTGGGGCTGTGACCACGGTGCGTGTGACAGGAAAGCCTGGCGGCATGCGTTCTGTCGTGCTTATTTCTTGCACATGTAAAATGTGTGTGGGGTGGGGTTTTGGGGTTTTCTGAGCAGTCTTCAATCCAGTGTTTACAGAAATATTCCCCACAGAAAACATATTTTGTTTAATGCTCCTCTTACACACAAAGGGTCTGGGAAGGCACAGCCAAAATGCAGTCTTTAGGAAAAGGCGTTTACTGTACAGCAGGCAGGGCTCCATGTAGAACGTATGCTGGATTTCAGCAGGTAGCAGGTAAAAGAGCAAACAAATAGGGAGCCATATTGTCAGCCATGCTGAAAAGTGCTCTGGTGCCCTTTCCTAGAGCATTTTCTCATCAACAACAACAAAATCAGATGTTTCTATCAGAAACATGAATAGCACAAACACATGGCTCTTGGCTCTTTCCTTCAGTAAGTAGCAGCAGCAATTAATTAGCTCTTGGAACATGTTGGATCTATAGAGAGAATATTAAAGCCTCACTTTTTTTTTTGAAGGATTAACAGTATTTCTGGGCAGTTCAGCAGCATCAATGATACATGCTTAATGTGTGGAAGAAGCTGGCATTCTGGCTTTGGCAGCAGGTACACAAAGGGTGTCTTCCCACAAGTTCAGTTGCATTCTTGGCTAAAGAGAACACATTTCACTTATTACAGTAAATAAAGCAGGTGATATTCAAACACTTTGCAAAGGTCTCCTGGGTGTAGCTATGGATAGTAGGTAGTATTTGTGCTCCATTTTGTATGCTTGTCAACAGCTGTTCGTGTCAGACGTCTTTTTTTTTGTTAATGCAGGTTGTCCTCAGGAAAGTAATGAAAAGGAGTGAGCATTGTCTCAGCTGCCATAAAGTGTTATGTTCTCTTTGGTATTAATCATCATTCTGAAGTTCATTAACTTTAATACACTTTAGTCTTTATATGTCATCAGTTGAACCCAAGCCTTCCAGATGAGTCATTTGCTATATGCTGGATTTGTGGGGGCAAGCTGATTTTTGAATATAGTGAACATTATGGATAGGCTTCTCCTTCTGCACTCTGTTCATCGCATTGAAATTGCATTTGTTAAACAGAGAAGGTGTTACGAGAGAGGCAGGGTTGTGACAGCCCAAAAGAAGAAGAGAAACCAACTGCAGAGGCAAGGTCCCTCATGGCATGATAGCGAGGGTGCCAGTGGGGTGGTGTAACAGCTCTGATTTTCCTTTTGCTCCAGTGCATAAATTGGGCATTGCCCTGTTGTGGCAAAATGAAGCGTGTAGTTGAGGAATGTCCCCAAAGCTTGCTTGCACCCAACCTGGGTTGTGCACAAAGCAATGCAGATGTATGGGCTTGAGCCCAAAAGTGAGTGTTAGTGAACACTGAGCAAGCTGGGGACCCCTGAGGGATGCCAGCAGAGCTCAGCTGGTATCCTCAGCAGCCTCCTTAGCACACCAGCTGCCTTGCCAATATCCTGTGCTGCCCAAAGATCACATCACAGGTTGATTTTGAGGAGGGACATAAGGCAGGATAATGCAGCCACTGACCTTGTGGACTTTTACAGGGAGCTCACCCAGTGCTAAGGGGCTGGCATGTCGCAGAAGGTGCTTGTGGAAGGTTTGACAAATAGGCGGTGAAGGCTGGCACTGTACATGGAGCAGAGGCAGGGGTTGGTGTACTGTGTATGAGATGAAAGATGAGGACAGGGCTAGGTCAGGAATAACACTGTATTTTGGGCAGTTGTCTTTTGCACTGTCCAGATTCCACATAATCAGTTTTTCCATCTCCTCCAGTAAACTGAAGGCATTTGTAATTCACGCTTTTAAACATTGCTGTCTATTTCTGCTACTTTATGGATTAAAAAAAAGCCCTGGACTTGTACACACAGAGGTATAATAGAAGAAAATAAAGATCCCTCCATAGCATCAGGTCATCACTCTTCTGGCTGCATGAAGCTCACCTATTGACAGGAATCATCTACCTCCAGCTGATCTTACTTCTCAGCCAAGGTCTGAAAGTCTGTCACCTCCTGTCATGATCTGTCATATAAACATCTCATGCAGTGTTAACCTAACAGTTAGAAAGATTTGTTGCAAGTCTGTTGGATCGTTTATTTGTTCTGTTTCTTAAACCACTTAATACAACGGGGGTGAATTTTCTTATAGGTTAAGGGCAGAGGCTGGGTCTTAATTTATCCCAGTAATCTGCCCAGGCTGTGTGCAGGAATCCTGCAGACTACATGAAAAGTGCTTGAGTCAGACCCTTCTCTGCTCAAGACTCAATAAGGGCATGAGTTGATCTAAACACATATATCTTCTGTTCAGGGGGGATAAAGGGAGGAGGAAAGAAATCAATGCTGTCTCTGGCTGAATTTCTAGTTGTGTTTCACAAGGCTGTTACTTGGCTCATCTCCTTCCCTCCAGACATTGCAGAATCGCCCTGCTGAATTCTCTCTGCATTGGACTGCCTGAATTTTTCTCAGAGAAAACAGGCTGGGCCTTTTCCTTTAGCTTCTGCTGCTTCTCTGTCTTGTTCTTGTCTGGCCTTCCACCCTTCCCCTCTTTTTTGCCTTCTCTAGGCTGTCACAAACTCTTGCCTCTTGATGTTCTGGCTGTTCCAAAGCCTTCCTCTCCTGGGCTCTGAGAGAGCAATTACACATGAATTGTTTTCCAAACCCTGAGAGCTGCAGTGTCCTGTTCTTGGCCCCAGAAAAAAAATATTGATTTGTACAGATTTTGCTGATTTGTATGGAGGCTTTAAAAGAAGGAAGAGGAAAAATGCCTGCTAAAAACCATCTTCATTCACATGAGCAAAAAGTGATTTGTGTGTGTAAGATTTGTAAAGGCTTCTTGGCAGAACTGGGAGAAATAAGCCATAGGTTGTTAAATAATCTTTAAGGTCCCTGTACTATGTTATGGCTTCAATTCAGAAAATACTTATATCACTACAACTGGTCTTAAACATCTTTGCATAACATAGTTTAAACTACTAAATTATTTTGGTTTTTAGACATAGTTTAATTATAGTGTAAAACTTAAACATAGTTATTTCCTCTTTTAAACAAGCTCTTGCTGGTTTTTGTTCTCTGAAGACTCTTTGCTGTCACTAAACAATTCCAACTAAAGCGCTGAAAGTGCTTTGACATACATTGTAATGATGATAAGAAATCACCATGTTCAAGGTCTGGAGAGAGTGAAGAGTGTGGTTATAGTTTTGAAACACCCAAATATTTTGCCTAAAACAAAACACCTAATCTTTGTACCACATCATGTATTGTATGGAAGAATCAATCAATCAGCTGTAAGGTCTCTTCTCCATTAAGTAGTTTGTCTTCAGTTCTTGGCTAGGTGAAGGGCCCAATAGGACACAGGTCCTATCCTCAGCTACATCACTGGGAACAAGACTGGGGCCAAAGTAATGTTTGAAAGGTTTTCTTTTATTTGTAGAACAAATGTTTTCACCCAACTGTAGCACAGTCAAACAGTGCGAAGGAAACATAACAATACCCCTGTCTATTTATCTGTGTTTTCATAAGGTCACCCATCACCATGGTATCCAAGTGTCTTTCTTCTTTCCTTTAAGGGTCCTGGTCAAGAGTTGAAAGTAAGGAAAAGAGAGGAAGGAAACCACAAAGAAAGAAGCATATGAAAAGTAAAAAAAAATACAGACCTGGAGGTAAACCTACACACTCAGAGGTAATTTGCCTTGAGGAGCAAGAACCCTTGAGACCTATGTGTAGACTGTGGAAAAAAGAATCTGTGAACAATAGTAAAGGCTATGAACGTGCTATCCTCTGACAGGTATGTAAACTTTAAGATTAAAATAACAGCTTCAAAAATCTTTCTGTCAGAGTGAGTTTGCTTTCGCTAGTCAGGGTTTCAGGGGAAGTATCACAAAGCCAATGTATATCAAGTGGAGATAGCAAAGGAAAATACTGTATGAAATTTCTAAACAGGTCAGTTCTTGAAGCACATTGTCTATAGCCTGACAAAGTTATCATGACATTAAAACAGGGTTATATAAAATAAAATCAGGTAAATAAGTATTAGAGCTGATAGATTTTTTTTCTGCATATGTTGAATGATCTCAAAGCAAATCTCATACTGAAGAAGGAAGAAAAAGAGTGAACCAGGAGGGGCACAAAATTAAAGTTGCCTTTTGTTTGGTTTTGTGTCAGTTATTGGTTTGATCGGAAAGTATTTTCACCGACAATTCTGACAATCCCAATAAGCATTCACTTTACAATTGGGAAGGGTTCCTTAATAGGCTTTTAAAGTTTTGTCTCAGTTTAGCAATATACTCTATCATGTTTTGGTTTGGGTTTTTTTTCCTATTGACGTTCATGGTGATACCAAGGAGAGATGGTGGGTATTTCAATCACACGTTTGTTACCCAGTCTCCCTCTGTGCATGCTATCCTGAAAACTGTGTTGTGAGAAACAGCCTTGTGTTTTAATGGTGTCAGTATGCAGTCGTCATACTGCTTATGGAGAGGAGGCGGGAGGGTGGGAGCAGCCAAGTGTCCTCACCTCTATCCCTGGAGTGGGAGCCCTAACTGCTGTGAGTATGCAAACCTTAGAGTTAAGAGACATCTGAAGAGGATGGTGATAATAAGGAGCTAAGTGTGTCTTGGTCATGTTTATTTTCCCAGTTTGATTAAATATAAATGTCTGAATATCAACTATTTGTATGCTAATCACATCCCTTCAACAAACACAAGCCACTAACGAAACTAATTTTTGTATACTACGAGATTTCTTGACCACAGAAAGCAGACATGATATATATAAAAGGAGTGAAATAATTCAGCATATGCTCATTGCTACTTCTTTAAACAGCAGCTTCCTCCTTCCGGAGACCTTCCTTGAGGTTTGCATATGACCACATGTAATGATGTGGTTTCTTTTCACTAGTAATAGCTTTCTGAGGCAGCAAGATGTGGTGCAAAATCTTACTACTCAATAAGTGGCATTCTACTGACCTAGTTACCCCAAAAGCTAATTGCTAGCTTGTATATTTGCCACACTTCCCAGCAGCACAGTAGACTTCATAAAGTGTCTAGCAAAAACTTTAGCTCCTGTCAGGCCATGTTCAGGTCAAGTATAAGGCCCACTGGAGTCAATGGCTGACTTACATTGTGAAGCGAAGTAGACTGAAAGGTCAAATTCTCAAAATCACCTCATGAACTCTGGCATTTACTTTGATAAATCTCATGTCTCCGTATGTAGCTACCAGTTCAACAAGCTACTTAGATCTATGACCAGCTTAGAAAGATGTGAGTCATTGCACTGACTTCAACATGGTGACTCACATCCTTCACCAGCGTCCTGTAAGCTGCCCCTCTGGGTTGGCCCTTTTGCTCCAACAGCCTGTTGAGAAGGCCTGTCTGCGGTTTCAGGTGTTTATTAAAGGCAAATGGGTCATGGTGATGGATTGTGTTTTGGCTGCCTGCTTGGAAAGTCTGACCCCAAATAATGACCCCAAATATTGGGATCTCTGTGTGGTTCTCTCCTATTTTATTCTACCAAGAATGTCACATGTAAAGGCATTATTAATTCAAGAGGAAGAACTTTTCCAGAAACTCCCCCCCCCCCCCCCCCCCCAAACTCTCAGGAGCAGTAAAATTGTTTCTTTCTTTTAATTGTTTTGTTCTTATTTCTATGCAGTGAACTTCGTCACAAGTCCAAAGAAGTGTTCACCATCATTCCTCAGACCCGCTATTTCTGCATGTACATCAGAGAATCGCAAAATTCAGAGATGAAAAAGTTCCTTTGCATTAGATCATCTCATCCCTGCCCTTCCTGACACAGGTTTTCTCTCCCTGTACAGTATATTCTCTAGCGCTTTGTCCAGTCTAGCTTTAAGTAGATTAAATATGGTACTTTCTCACTGCCCTGTCAGAAGCTGTTGGAGAGGCTTGGAGGTAATTGACACTGGCACCCTTTGAAGGTGTGTTGTGGACCTTACCACACTTGTCATTTGTATCCAAACACAGTGCTTTCCTCCAGCTGTCATGAGTATTGTGTGGCCATAATTCTTTCAGACCCATATACAGCCTGTGCTGAACAGTTATAACTAAGATGGAACAAAAGAAATGAAAATGTGGTTTTGGTTTCTTTTTGGCAGACAGTGTACATAGGGTTAATTCTTCTGAGCAGCCCAGAGGTGAAATAGTAAGGTGAAGGCCTCCAGAATACTTTGTTGATGAAAACTAGTGGTATTGAGATATGATGTGCTTGCCTGCACATGAAGCTTTTTCCTAGATAGAGAGGTATATTTTATAGACTTCAATTAATAACTACATTTGAAATATCAACTGTCTGCTCTTGTGACACGGAAAGCAGATTTAGCCAAAAGGTGACTGCTTTTGAAGAACACTGCTGATGATATACGCATTTAAGTGAAGCAGTAATAACGTTTGGAGTTTCCTTTTTCACTCAAGGAATCCACAAAGTGTTTCACTCCGTCCCTGCTCAAACTGTGCAGCTGCTTTGGGGTTGGGACATGCCTGTGACTTTGTGGCATGACGAAATATAGGACAGTCTAGACAAGAAGTCAGTAGTGGGCTGCTGGGCTCCTTGTATTTAGAGTCCAATTCCTGAACTGTTCTGTTTTTCCCAGAAGATGTTGATGCACCATCATGAACAGAAAACAAAGGGTATTAGGTAGTCTCTTGGTTTAAAGGGTTTCTTACTTCTCTCATCATAATAGAACCCCAATTTTTAATCCTACGAGCCATAGAACTATAAAGCCATGGATTTCTTAAGTACAATTCTCCATCCAGGTCATTGTCATTACTTATTTCTACCTCTTTCAGATAAAGGAATATTGTCCCTTGGTGTAGCCTCTTACTTGCTACTTTTACTCATATTGAAGGTTCTTGATGCAGATATTATTTGTAGCACTCTCACTGCTTGTCATTACTGCCTCTGAGTTCACAAATCCCACACCGAGATCACATAACATAGCCCAGCATTTCTTGGACATGTAGCACCACATTAAAATGTCATTTTAAGTAATTAATATTTTATTTATAAATACTTATAAATATTTATTATAAACAAGGCTTTAAGCAGCAGCTCATGAGAAAACAATCTATTACATTTGTATTAAAACATGTTCAAAAGTTTAATTGTAAGAGAGGCTATTCAGATGAACTGTAAAAAAATTCATAGCAGTGCGTTGCTTTGGCCAGTTCATGTCAGGCTGCCACGTTGAGATGGGAAGGTGGATTTCATTGTGTTCCACACTAAATCCAAGAAACCAACCTCCAGTGATTTAGGGAACAGCTATAAATACTCCATGTTCTTTTTTTTTTGTTCCATGTCTTATTTGGGCAATACTTCTGTTCATGACTGGGTCAAATGCTGCTCTTGAAATCCCCTGTATGACTCATGGCTGAGGAAGAGCTTTGCTGGATTTGACACATGAGGGTTTGTGCCTACTGGAAAGCTGCTGAAAATGGGGTTTGTCCTCCTGACTTCTGCTGTGGGCTTTATATTTAGTCCTGAAGGGACCCTCAGTCTGCTGATCCAGCAAATCAGAGATCTAGCTCCACTGGGGTCATCTTCTGTTTGGTAGGCATCCTTCCTTCCTTTCTTGTGACACACCACTTGAAGTAGTTTTATTCCCCTTTTTTGTGAAGTCTTTCTAGGAAAGCATGGAGGCATAGCTTTCTCAGGCTGTTCCCCCAAAACATTATTCCTTTTAGGAGAAGAATATATTTGGCTGAGACCCACCCCTTCATAATACAGGGCTTTAAATATGAATAACATAAAATAATAAAACAATCAAAATAATCGTCAGGACTGGTAACTGTTTTACACCTCTAACCAGAATGACCAACCATCTCTGATTAAGTATCCTACAGAAGCATTTAAATTCAGCAGGTTTAATAGTTCTTAACAACTCCCATTGATGGTATTATTTTTCATTGGGAAGAAAAATGGTTATTGCTCGCATTGACCTCTAGTAAATCTTGTCACCCAGCCCATACCCTGGTCCCGAAATATAATTAAAGCACTCTGTTTTGATAATAGTGACTTACAAAAGTGTAGGAACTAGTATTTACATTTTCCCTTTTTATTGCTCTTAAGTTTGGTATGAAAAGAAAGGTAATGCAACCAAATTACCTTAAATAGCCAGGACGGATTTATTTCTGTCTAGGAGTGTTGTAGTTTACATACATCAAATATATATATAACATATATATATGTATATGTTCTAGGATTACCGCAGTGTTTGATGGGCCTTTTATTTTTTTTCACTGTGGTGATTTTAGATTCGATCCACAGTGTAAGCACCTTCAGAGGACCACAGCAGTTGTTTTTACCCCACGTAAAAAAAAGTGTCTAAACAGATTAATAAAACTCAGGTTTGTAGCCATATATTTCTGAGAACTGCTGTTCATAATATTTTGTGTTGTTGTAGCAACATGCTCCTCATCTATATTTAGTTTAATAGCTGCTTTTTGGAATATTGCAAGCTAGTACAGTATATTATCAAGTGGTTTGAATGACATCATAACCTATGAGTGTCATCTCTTGTGGGTTATAAAATCCTCCCAAACCCTCCGTTTGTATTAATGGCTTGTAATATAATTTTAAACCAGGTATTATAGTTTACAGTGGAAGGATAAAAATCCTGGTCTGCCTCGTAGAGTGCACTGGGGGAAGAGGAGGGCAAAGCAAAGTGTCTTTCCCACCTTACTCATGTATGGACTGTTTGAGATGGGCAGTATGGTGCTTACTGGGCTTAGGCATTGTCAGTGGCCCAGGAGAAGTCTGTCAGTGTCTAGAGGG